TTTTACCTGCTTTCTCTTCCAATAGATTCAGTGTTTCTGTTTTAATATTGAGATCTGTGAACCATTTTGACTTGAGTTTGGTGCATGGTGATGGACTTGGGTCTATTTTCAGTCTTTGGCAGGTAGCAAGCCACTTTTTCCAGGACCATTTATTCAAGAGGCTATCGTTCTTCCAGTGAGTTTGTTTGGTCCCTTTGTCAAAGACGAGGTGGCTGAGTGTGTTTTTGGTTGTGTCTGTTTCTTCCAGCCTGTTCCATTGATCTTCTGGTCTGTTTTTTAGTCAGTACCATGTGATTTTATTAGCTTTGTAGTATAATTTTAGGTCAGGGATTGTGATTCCACCTGACTTGTCCTTGTTGTCCAGGATTGCTTTTGCTATTCTGGGTCTCTTCTGGTTCCAGATGAATTTAAGGAATGTTTTCTCTAGATCTGTGAGGTATGCTAATGGTAGTTGAATGAGAATTGCATTGAATCTGTACAACAATTTTGGTAGTATAGCCAATGTTGTTTTTCTTTCGCAATGTTCTTCGTACCCATGAGCAAGGAGTTTTTTTCAACTTACTGAAATCCTCTTTGATCTCTTTTTTCAGAATACTGTAGTTTTCATTGAATAGATATTTTACTTCTTTTGTTAGGTTGATTCCTAAATATTTCAGTTTCTTGGATGCTATTGTGAAAGTATGGTTTCCTTAATTTCTCTCTCAGTCTGTTTGTTGTTTGTGTATAGGAATGCTATTGATTTTTGGGTGTTGACTTTGTATCCAGCTATACTGCTGAATTTGTTGACTAATTCAAGGAGTCTTCTTGTGGAGTTTTTGGGGTCTTCCATGTAAAGTATCATGTCATCTGCAAATAGTGATAGCTTTACTTCTTTCTTGCCTATCCTTATTCCTTTTATTTCTCTCTCTTGTCTAATTGCTCTGGCTAAAGATTCCAGATCTGTGTTGAACAGGAGTGGTGACAGCAGACATCCTTGTCTTCTTCCTGATTTTAAAGTAAAACCTTTCAGTTTTTGTCCATTTAGTATGATGTTGGCTGTTGGTTTGTCATAGAGGGTTTTGATCAGGTTGAGGTAAAGACCATCTATTCCTATTTTCTGTAGAGTTTTTATAATGAATGCATGTTGGACTTGGTTAAAAGCTTTTTCTGCATCTATTGAGATGATAATATGGTTTTTGACTTTGGTTCTATTGATATTGTGTATAACATTTATTGATTTGTGGATATTGAGTGCTCCCCTGCATTCCTGGAATGAATCTGACTTGCTTGTGATGTATGATTTTCTTGATGATTTGCTGCATTCTGTTTGCTAGTATTGTATTGAGTATCTTTGCATCTGTATTCATTAGGGAGATTGGTCTGTAGTTCTCTTGGTTGGGTCTTTTTCTGGTTTTGGTATCAGGATGATACTTGCCTCCAGAAGTGAGTTAGGGAGAATTGCTTCCTTTTCAACTTCATTGAAGAGTTTGAGGAGTGTTGGTAT